CTGAAAAAATCCAAGCTACAATATCAACAGGATACTGATTGCCTCAGTGACCTAGTCTTGCTTCTTTTTTTCGCTCAGCCAACGAGCCAATCAGAAAATCATGTTGCTTCTGAGGTCATGGGTCTCTCTTTATAGAACCATAGAGCTGGAAGGAACCTAAGAGGTCATCAAGTCCACTTCAGGATTCAGTACACCATTTCCTATCCAGCTAATTTGAAAATCTCTAGCGAAGGGAAAGAAAAGATACCTGCAAGTAACCTTTTTGGGTAAAGACTTACTCCTTGTACTTTTTATGATGATCAAAAGTCACTTCTTTAAATATTTCTTTTTTTAAAAATTCTTTTTTTTCTTGCACTTTTTCTTTTCTTTATTTTTATTTTGCTTTCTGTGTTTAGTTTGTATTGTCTTTTATTTTATTTTTTAATTCAATAATTATTTTTTTTAAAAAGATGTAATTGCCCTTCTACTGTTGGAACATGCTGGACTTTTATTAGTACACTAGTACACCAGTTCTCCTCCTGAGTGCTGCCCATGAGCAAATTTCCCCTAATCTGCACATCTTTCTTTCATTTTTCTTAACAAAATGCATGCTTTTACTCCCTGTTAAGTTTCATTCTATTTGTTTACTTCCGGCTTGTATTGGAGTTTCCCTTAACTTTTTCCTTTTCAAGTATTAGTCACCTACGCTAGTTTTGTATCACCTTCCTCCCATGACCCTCTCCCCCCCACAAACCATATCCCAATTCTGCTGATGAAGGCTACCTTGTCGTTGTTCCTCAGGATCAGTGGTACTTCGTAGAGCTCACAAGAGGCATAGTTTTGAAAAACCACTTCTGATGGAAATGGTTGAAACAGAGTCCGATCCAGATCAACAGAGGAGAACTGAAGATGTAGAGCAACAGATGGAAATAATAGTGGGGTTGCTTACAGTGCAGTTACATTGCATCTATAACCATTACGCCTTCAGGTAAAGAGCAGATGACACTGGCAATAAGATCCATTAAATAGACCAAATCAGTGTCAAATGTGAGATCAGTTTAAAACTTAGCCACAGTCAACTACTCAGGTTACTCACAGCTGTGTTTGTTAAATAAAACTAAGCCTTGGAGCTCTCTCAACTCTGGCCATATGGGGGTATGGCAAATCCCTGGTGCTTTGAAGGGCCGTGGCAGAGGCAGATATTCAGCCAAAAGCTTTTCTCCCCAGGAAAAGCTGACTATTAGATAGCCCAGAAGATTGGATAGATTCCAATTCCTCTCTTCAGGTATCGACTTATGTGATTGGTATATGTAATTTTTCACACCACTGGTGCAGCATCCCCAGGGTGACGTGATTAATACTCAGGGGCTTGGCAACTGGCATACATTTATGATGGTTTCAGTGTCTCAAAATCATGTGATTGCCTTTTGTGACTCTCTGATAAGCAAGTCAATGGGGAAGTCAAATTCATTCAACAACCATGTTCCTAATTTAACAACTGCAGTGATTCACTGTGGCAAAAAAACCTCAAAAATTCAACAAAACTCACTTAACAACTGCATTACTTGGCAATGGAAATTTTGAGCTGAATAGTGGTTGTAGGTTGAGGACTGTGTGTATTTGTTATTTGAGTATCTTGTAGGAAAAAAATATCAGGCCCACCTCATGCTTTGCGGCTTCCTTGGTGAGCTTGTGCTCTGCATGATCAAGGAAGAATCGAAGACTGGATGAATCAGTGGCCTGGAGTGGCTTCATTTTGTGGCAAAGAATTAGGGCTGATTTCCAGCTGCTGAGATTTGGCTGCAGTAGCCAAGGGGGAGACTATTGTTTCCTAGGCCACGGTGTGGGAGCAACCTGGACCAGTCTTCTTCCAGTTAGATATGAAGTAAGAGACTCGGGAGCAAAGGGCCTGACACTCCAATAAAGGAGAACAAATGGCCACTGGTTTTACCATCACAAATTCATTTAATAAACTAGGAGGGAACAGGTTTCAAGCAGAATATCAGTTAACTCACAACGAATTTTACATGTTTAATTTGAATTTTATTTAATTATTTAATTTATATCCCACCTTCATTACTTTGATAAACAGCTCAAGGGATAAATCCCTCCTCCTAATTTTCCCACAACCATAACCTTATGAGGTTGGTTTGGCTCAAAGAGAGTCATTGGCTCAAAGTCTAGGGACTAGATCCTAAAGCGGTATTAGATCTCACGGTCTCCCAGTTTCTAACCTTAATCACTAGACCAAACTGCCTCTCTATTACAGTAATGTCAGGCATTTCATATATGCATAATAAGGTGGCAGACAGGAATACACACAAGCATGTAACACATGGCATACTTTATTTAGATGCATCTAAATTCTGCTAAACAGAAATCAATTAAATTGAAGGTTCACTTTAATAAATTGCTATTGCATGGGGTAAACTGAAAAACAGCCCCATTTGGATGTTCTTATTTGGATGATTCCCATCAATAGGCACAACTCCAAGAATGCCATTTTGAGACATGGCCCCGATTAGACCACTCCCATTCTCACTTCCTGGATGCCACAACAAATTTTGCCTTAGGATTTTTCAAATAATTCCTATTACCTTTGACATCTCTTCTCTTTTTTAATATAAAAATATACAAGTATTTATTTATCTTTTTTAAGCTAATAAAATCCTGTGCCATATCTTTTTATGCCTGTGTATTGTAAGAAGCCCCAGAAGTCCTACACTAAAGTAGAAAAAATGCTTACTTTCTGATGTGAGGTTTCATTCATGTCCAAAAGCTGAATAATGCGAGGCAAGTGTACTTCATGGGTGCTTGCCAGCCTTTGTTCCGTTGTGAGAGATATCTCTTTCAGAAAAGCCGAGGGTGTCAGCTGCAAAGAGAAGCAAAATTGCATCAACACCTTCATCAAGATTGGCTCTTCCTGCTGTTCCTGTTTCATAAGATGTGCTTACAACCTGTTGTGGTAGAGTCCAAACAAAAGAATGATTTCCCACTTAAATTCTTTAAAAAGTCATAAATGCAGATTGTCCATTTCAATTATTGGAATTTTCATTTGTAATAACCTTAATTTGCAGCTTTCTTCTATGCTTCCCTATTTTCCTTAGGATGAACAAAGCCATTTCTGATGGATAGTTGTGGAGACGTTGTATTCTTTGTTTTGCATTACATTGATCTTCATTAACTTTGATTTCTATGCAATAGGAGCCTGTGGTACACTAAATATATCTCAGCATCCTGCAGCCCTTGGTGGTCAGTATCCCTCAATCTACCACTATTTGCTTACCAAAGCTGATGTTATGACAGTGCTAAACAAACAGTGGTTACAACCAGGTCTTGAAGTTCCATGCAACCTCCCCAGCTCTTACTGCACTTCTCCTACCACCAACTGGTGCCACTTTCCTGACTTGCCCCTCCCATGTCTCTGCTCATACACTGCCCTACCTCCCTGTGATTTCCTGCACACACACCTATACCCCCTTGCTCCTTTCCCCACCTGGCACCTGCAACCTGCGACTTGCAGCTTCCTGCTTGCTTCCCCACTGACACTTTGGTGTGAGAAGCTGACAGGAAATTGTCTTGCCTAAGGACTATGGGATTCATGGGATTTGGGTAATGGCAGCAGCTGGGAGTTCAGGGATGCTTTGTATAGTGATGGATATTCCCAACTGATATCTTAAGTCAAGGACCACCAGTACTTCATTACTTGGGTCCATTTATCCTGACATTCCTCCATGAATTGGACGCTGGATCTGAAAAGTGCAAGTTCAGTCTCAGACTTCACCTGTTTTGGAATTGTATTTTTGGTTAAACTATTTTTTTAGATGTACTTTTTAAATCTATCTTTATTATTTTTATAAATAACTCAAGGTGACAGACATATCCAACACACCTTCTTCCTCCTTTTCTCCCCACAACAACCCTATCAAGGGAGTTGGGCTCAGAGAGAGGCACTGGCCCAAAATCACCCAGGAGCTTTCATGCCTAAGGTGAAACTAGAACTCACAGCTTCCTTGTTTCTGGCATGGTACTTTATTAGATCAAACTGGCTCTCAGTTACTTTTGCTTATTGTTCTAGTTTGCTTTCTGGGAAATGAGTGTTTTCAGACACTGATAGGAAACCATCCAGAAATCTCAAGGTTGGTGACTAGGCCAACCTTTACCCAGGCCTTCAGCAAGGAAGTGTGGAAACCCTCTAGTCACCATACTTGCTATCATATTTTTGTAATTTACTAATTTTATTGCAATTTCTTTGCTGATTGCTGTGAGTCACCCAAAGTTGTTGAGAGTCAGGTGATGTGCAAGTTTAATAAAGTGTTATTCTACTGGGAAGTCAGAAATCAGCTAAGCAGAAGGTAGTAGTAAAGCATTAATGTTGTCAAGAAAACAACAAAATTGAGGCCATATAGTCAACAGGTGTGAAGGTCAACCCAAGGAAGTTTTCCTTTATCCCATGACCCATTTTCAAATATCCGCATGTATCCATCCATCCCCAAAGGAACATACTGGAGCATCCTTCTTTTCTTCTGTAACCAACTTTGCATTGCGTGGTGCAACCACTTTGCTCTGAAATCCTTCTGGTAACTTCAAAGGAAGCAGAGATTTCCGGGCTCGATCTGCTAGCATCTTTGTCAGCCTCTGAAAAAAGAATAAACTTCTTTAAAAGCTGGGAAGGGAAAGTATCTGAAATGCATAGTATCATTTGGACTGTCAATGACAAATAGACCCTCAAGGGAAAAAGGAGTAAAAAAAAACCAAAACCTTTAGATCGTTTTCTATCTTGCAAGTATTATTTTTTTCCTTGTAAACTCTGACTCCAGTTTCAGAAACAACGGAGCAGTTGGGATCTCTTTCAGTTTCTTCCTTTGGGTCTGACAATTGGCTGGTTCTGCGGGAGACGCTCCCCTCTCCAGGCTGAGCCTGCTCGACAGACGCCGACACCGCCTTTGAATTGGGACCGTTGCAGGGAAGGGCCTGCCTTCCTTTAACGGCTGCTGAGGGCCCCAAAGGGCCTTTGCAGGCGGGGTACCCAGGCAGCTGGAACAGGGCAGGTCTCAGGGAGGCTCCGGGTGGAATCTGCTGCCCCGCTTTCCTCCCCCTCCTCCTCCAGACGGGAAGGGCGGCCCGGAGGTTCCTGCGAGGGGAGTTTGCCCTGTCTACTAACCCCGCCACTCATCCCTTCCCTCGGGAGCCAAAGCCTTCGCCTAGCCCCCTTTTCCAGGGTTTTTACAGTCTGTAAGCACTTCAGACTAACAGACTGTAAAAACCAGGAGCGCAGGCGGGGAGGAAGCGTGGCAGAAATCCGTCCGCTCGCCGCTTCGCTCACCGCCGGCCGCGCCCTCCCGGGTGCCCCCGACTGCGCTTCCCTTACGGCGGGCGGGCGGGCAGCCCAGGACTAACCAGGCGAACCGACGAAGCGATCTCCGGAAGGTCGGCAGCTTCTGCGGGGCTGCGGGTTCGGCAGTGCGCCGGCGACGGGGAGGCGTTCGAGGGCACGCAGGCCGGCCGAGCGCGCCTACTCAACGACCCGAAGCTCGGTACTCGGATTCCCAACGCCGCCAGGCCCGCACGCTGCCTGTTGCCCCGGCAACGTGCTGCCGCGTCGCTATGGCAACGGTCGCACACTCCGCCCCCGGGGGACGCCTGGAAGCGCGGCGCGCACGCGGCGGTCTCGTGGGCGCTCCTGCCCAGTCCACCTGGACTGCTCCTTTCTCGGCGGCTCCTCGGGCCCGGCAGGCGAGACAGAGCTGCGGGCCCCGGCGAGCTTAACCGCCCTGGCGCTGAGCCGTTCGCTCACGCTCCCGACGGCTCCCGTCTCTCCTGCGGGAAGTCGGGTCGCCACTCTCCCGGTCTGGCGGAGCAGCCTCAACTCCGGGACTGACTCTGTGCCTCCGAATAATTACAGGAATAAAACCCCAAATAAAAGCAGTGCCCCGCCCCCGCCCCCCTCCTTTACTTACAAAGAACCCCTTTAAAACAGCGGTCTCCAACCTTAGCGACTTTAAAACTTGGGGACTTCGACTCCCAGAATCTCAGCCAGTATGTTCGACTGGGGAATTCTGGGAGTTGAAATCCACATGTCTTGCAGACTTTGCTTTAGAACAGTGATTCCCAAACTTGGCAACTTTAAGATTTGTGGACTTCAACTCCCAGAATTCTCCAGCCAGCTTGCAGGCTGGAGAATTCTGGGAGTTGAAGTCCACAAGTCTTAAAGTTGCCAAGTTTGGGAACCACTGCTTTAGAAGGACTCTGTGAACTTTGCACTCCTGAGTACAACGCAGAGGTCACTGCATCTTTGGCTTCGAAATAAAATAATTGTGCTTCCTCTCCAACTGCTGGTTTTGTTTGGTGAGGTTTCCAGCCTGATTCTCTGATTTCGATTAAGCATTCAGTTTGCAAGATTCTGGTTATGGTAGAAAAGCTGCCAAAATGTGGACTATAGCATCATTAGATTATAGTTAGGGGTCCTTGGGGCTCTCTGAACTCGGTTGCTTTTATGCAGAAGTTTTATTACCTAGGTAACCTCATCAGTGCTAGAATAGTTAGCATGAGAATAGTTAGTTGAATAATGGGAGCCTGCAAGTCCATTGCAAGTTTGAGGGGAAGTAATGAATAGAGCATTACAGGCAGAGGTGGGTTCCTACCAGTTTGCACCTATTCGGTAGAACCGGTTNCCCCCCCCCCCCAAGTACTTGTTCATCTACTTAAAGGAGGCACGTTGTGTGATATACGTTGTGTGGATGTCCTGGAATGGAGCAAGGCCTGCTCCTCCACCTGTCTCTAGCAGGTGCCAGGATGCTTTTCAAATGTGCCTTTTGCCAGGTCTACCCTTCTGCACAGAGATTTGTGCCGCTGTGTTTTCAGCCCATGCAGCTGAATAAAAGAAAATACGGGCAGGTAAGAGGGAGTTAAGTAAATCATGTTTTATTCTTTTCTTTTGTCGATATGTTTAGTTCTCTTCCTGCCAAGATTCATTACGCTCCGCTATCTTGCAAGAGACACATATGGTGCAGTGAAATTGCAATCCAAGAAAGCTTGTCCCAGCCTGTAGAGACATCATCAAATAAGATTAAAGCAAAGAAAAAATGAAAAGATAGAACCATTTTTTTAATTTTCTTTTTTGTCCTACAGAGAACATCTGATGAAAGTCAGGGAGGCACTCGAAGGCTTCTAAGGGTCTTTCTGTCTCTTTCTGTCCTTTGCCTGGTTAGGGAGGAAGCTCCCAGCAAATCTCTCCTTTCTCTTCCCAAGCCCAACAAAAAGGGGGCTTAATCATACGGTTGTCAGCCCCCCTCTGATAAATAGCACTTAAAGGTCCCAAGCAGATGAGACCCTCCCTTCCGCTCTCTTTCTCTCTCCCCCTCCCTCCAGCGCCGGCTGCACCTGGCCAGCCCCTCCCTCGTGCCAGAGCTACCACATCCTGCTTGCATTTTAGAGGGTGGGCTTTGGAAGGAAGACCCTCTCTCCTGCTTAGGAATTGCCCACACAGCAGTGGGCAATTCTATCCAGGAGGGATCTGTTCCCACACAAAGCAGGAAGGATTTAGTTCAGCTGATTTCTGCTTGTGATCAGTTACCCTGCATTGCTCCCTTGGGAGACCCAGTCCGCATAGCTGAACCCACCCACCCACCTAGACTCAAAGGGGGTGGGGGGAGGTCCTGCTTCTTCCCTGTCACTGAAAGCCCACACACCTTCTTGACAGAGGGAGCTCTCTGCCCAGCGAATATTAATATTCCGGAAAGCCCATAGAACGAAATAAAAGAGGAGGAAGATTGGGGAGGGGGTTTGACAGCGACAACTCATACTACCATACCAAATATGAACAAAAAAGCCGAGACCTTTTTCATCTGGTCCAAGGATGCTTCTGCTGTGCCTGCCCTACTACTTGCCTTCGACGGAAGACGGCGGCTCTGAAGAAGCTGCCCAAGGGCCACGGGAGGGAGCTCCGAGTCTCCCCACCCCCACCAGCAGCCAGAGGGAGACCCCCCCCCACCTCATAACGGAGGCTGAGGGGGAAGCATTGCCATCTTCCCCATTCCTCGCTGTGGCCTCCCCTGCCTAAAGCGGCCTTCTAAAGCTGTTTCAGGTTTCCCTGGTTCATATTTTTAATGTTTGCCAGAAGAAATTAACCTCGTTTATTCCAACTGTAAATTGAGGGCAGAAAGAAAAAGGGAAGGTGCCTGGGGTGGGGGAAAGACAGACCAGGTGACCAGTCAGTGATGCTGGGGGTCCCTAAGGGGGTAAAAGGGGCCAGAATTACAAGGGAGGCGAAGCCAGGGGTTGGCTCAGCACGGGGGAGTTAGAGGTTGGGCAGGTTTATAGGCAGCAAGGATGCCCACCAAGCCTTGGAATTCAGCTAATAATTGGCCCCACTCAAAACCCCTGGGATTTGGGGGCAGGGCTTCCTCAGCTTTTGGATGGAGGAAGGTGCCTGCCTCCCGACGCATCTCCCAAATCCAAGACCAAAGTGGCATTTGGTGCCTTTTCTGTACAAAATCCATGACAACCATGAGAATGGACTAATTTCACAGTAGATTTTGGCATGGAAACGTCTTACCTGCCTTCCCCCGTCCACCCCACCCCTCCGGCCACCCCACGTCCTTTGTCCAGGCCAGGCGGTGAATGGGGAGCAGAGAGGAGGTGATGCCAACAGGGAGGCCACACGGTGAGGAGGACGGAGGAGGGGGATTTCTGCCCAAGGTGAGAGGCAGCATCCCCTGAAAGAGGGAATTGCAATGCAACCGCGGGGGCCCCTTTGCCCCCAGAACCCCTTGCAGGAATGCTTTCCCTCCATTATTCCGTCTTGGGGAGCCCTCGGCTGCAGCTGCTTCCCACCCAACCCGACTTTTATGAGCCACTCAGCATTTCCCAAAGAGATCCACAAAAGGATCTACATTTTCCGTCACTTTCTTTGGCCTCAGGGAAATCTGGCCTCGGATCCTGATCCTCTGTTCAATAAGTCCCCCATGAGGAGGAGGAGGAGGAGGAGGGGGAGGAGGAAAGATCTGTTTGTGAATGGGGGAAGGAGGATGCTTAGGTGCCCTCCTGCCCTTCACCCAATCTGAAGGACCAGGAATGGAGGAAGGCTCCGGATGGTTTCAGACAATTTCATCACTTCAAGCGATCTAAGCCTTAGACAAACACCGGAAAGCTGAAAGAGAGACCAGCACCAGGGATTCCTCAGTTCTCAGGCAGTTTTTGAATCAAGTAGTGGCTAGATTTAAAAGCTAAGCAGGGCTGCGCCTACTCAGTACCTGGATGGGAGACACCAGGAAGCCTGTAAGTTTTAGCCTAGGCTGGAAGGTCTGCGGAAACCTCCTGCAATCAGGGGAGAACCAAGGGCTTCCACAAAACAGTGAGAGTTGTGAAGCCACCAGGACCCTCCTCTGACCCAGGGACACATTATGGCCGCCCTTCCGCCACAGTTGGGAGTAAGAATATTCTAGGCAGAACAACCAGCTTTTAAACCTTGATCTTTCTCAGCATGAAATAAAGCTATAAAGCTAGGAAACTGTGGGGACGGTGTGCCACGTGGGCCAAATTCTGTAGAACCACTGTAGAATGGAGACACCTGGAGCCACCCCGGCTGCTTCGATTCTGCACTGGGGGCCTCTGGGCCTGCACATTCTCCCCTGCGACCCCCCCCCCACGAGCACTGCCCTCCCCCACTCTGGGGAGACCCTGGGGGAGGCCAAGGGGTTGCTGCCGCTACTGCTCCCCCCTCGGTTTCTCCATGCGCTGCCTCCCCCTGCAAGCGAGGCTCCCTCCTGAAGGGGCTTCTCTCTGCTGTTTTACAAGGCAAATATTACCTCTTCTCATTTCCAGGGCAGAGCGTTATTAAAAGCCGGTTGTAATCTTAGAAATTAAAAGGCCTTCCTCTGCGTGACATTTCATCTCTTGAAGTCCCCGGGGAAGGGAAACTTCACACGCTCCTGGTCTCCCTGGCTAAGGACTTCCTTTCCTCTCCCTGGGAAGCCTGGCCTTGCTGGCTGGTCTGCAGGGGCACCGGAGGCTCCAGGGGAAGGGAGGAGCTGCAGAGGCCAGCCAGCACATGGTGACCACAGAGGGGCAGGTGAAAGAGGGTCCCTCACCCTGAGATTGCCTTCCAATATAGTTGTTGGAAAGCCCAGGCCATTTTCCTCAGCATTCAGATAGACTGCTCCTGCCTAGGATGACCCATTTAGTCATCCCAGTTGATGTGTAATAGGCTTCCCCATGAAAGGGGTACATTTTTCTTCCCTGGAGGTCTTCAAACAGAGCCCCCCCCCCGCCCCCCTCCCAACCACACTTTAGCAGGTTCTGCACAAAGGCCGAGTTGATTAGATGACCTCTGAGGTCGCTTCCAACTCCACAATTCTACAATGAAACCCCAATGATTGGAGGCTTCACACAGAGTTCTTATTATTTGGGAATGGCAGAAATTCCGTCCCACTTGGATCTTGTTCCAAGCTCTCCCCCCACACCCCCACCATCACCACCTCCAAGGCCACTGGGAGATTCCGCGCATGAGGAGGTCAAAAATAGACTCTGCAGCAACCCA